TTTAGAAATGGAGATGTTTATCCTGAACAAATAAAACTTTCTGAAGGGTTGTTTTGTAGAAATCTTGAATTTAAAAGAAGGTAGATTTGGGGCACCTGGGTGGCTCAGTCATTTAAGTGTCTGCCTTTGGCTCAGGTCATGATCCCAGGGTCTTAGGAGAGAGCCCCATGTCAGGCTCCCAGCTAAGCAGGGAGCCTCCTTCTCCCTCTCCCCGCTGCTCGTGCTCTCTCTGTCTCAAATAAATAAAATCTTTAAAAAAATAAAAATAAAAGAAGGTAGATTTTAGCTCAACACAAAAATAAGTGGAGATGTAAATTCCCAGTTATTAGAAGTCTCTCCAGACTTTTAAGATACCGTAATTTTCTAGGTTTATAGTAAGGACCTGAGAAGAATTAAATAATAGTTGCATATGACTCTTGGAAATAAAAAGTAGAGGGGTGGGGCAAAGAGAAGGAACATGCAAGGGGTAAACCTTGAGTATGATATTGTGTTGGCAGCTTATCATTCTCCTGTTCTTTAAGCTCCTGATCCCTCCATTAAGCTCCAGAGGTCAGATGCCCTTGCGTGTCTTCTGACTATTGAAAGCCCCCACTGTGGTACCTTATTCAGGTCTCCCTTCTATATCCCTTTCTTCTAATGTGTTCTAAGCCAGTGCTGTCCAGTAGAGATATAACACGATCCATGTACGTAATTTAAAATTTTATAGTAGCCAAATTAAAAAATAAAAAAAATCCCAAACAGGTAAAATTAATTTTAGTTATTTTGTTTAACCCAATATATCTAAAATATTATTTCATCAAAATAAAAAAATTACAGAAACATTTTACATTTTTATTTTGTACTAGGTTTTTGATATCCAGTATGAATTTTATACTAATAGCACTTCTCAATGTGGACTAGCCACATTTCAAATATTCAATAGACACATGTGGCTAGTGGCTACCATATTGGTGCAATTCTAAGCCATTCCTAATTCTGTATACACACTTTATGCAGTTTAGGGAGAAGCTAAGCTATCTGGTAAGAGCACGAGGCTATGAATAAGCAGACCTAGGATCTAGTTTTAGCTCTGCTTTTAATATGCTGTGACCTTGGTCTACTTATTTTACTTCTCTGACCCCTTCTGGTTTCAAAAGTATGTAATCTATGTTTAAAATAATCAATATGACAGTATGAATGACTAACTGATAGCATCTTTATGTTTTTCCACCTGGTCAAGTTCCAGATAGGACAGAGGATTTGGGGGGACAGTGGGGTGGGGATGGGGACTACAGGAGGCTTACTTTAAATCACAAAATGGCCAGGTGGGTCAGCTAAAGGTTGAGGGAAGTGGATAGGTCCCAGAGGAATAGGAAGTTTTCTATTTTAAAGACTCCTTCGTTCATAATATAACCTACTTCTTGGGATATAAGATATCCTTGATGACATTATGTATATTTGCCTGTGGTTCCAGACTTTATGGTTACCCTACATAATCTAGAAGCCCTGACAGAAGGGAATTTACAGCCCCTAACTTCCACATGTGTCAATGGGAGAAACTGCTACTACTCTAAATTCTCCTTCCCCATGATCCTTCCATGCGTCTTTCCAGGCTCCAAGAAACCCTCAGGATTTGGACCGCCTTTAGAATTCTGGGCCACTTCCCTACAGAAAATGGGGAAGGCCCAAACTTCTGTCTGAGGACAGCTTAAAGGATCTTGAGAGTAAGTTTAGAGAAACTTTGGCACCATTAGTTCTTTGGTACCTTCTTTTGGCAACTGACCCCAGAAGTTCATGATCTAGGAATTACAACCCTACTTACTATTGCTGCCTAATTACTACACACATAGCACAATGATTGTGCATATCATTAAAATCTTGTCAAATTAATTTTCTCTAAGATTTAATTTCAACACTAAATCCTGAATGGGTTTATATACAGTCTTCATAAGCTCATATAACATGGTCTTCTGCTCACAAGTTAAAAAAACAAGATACAACACTGCTCTCGTGTGATTCTTTCATGAAAGAAGAATACTTCTAAAGTCCAAATAATTAATATAAAATGTAGTCATTCTGAAAGTCTGAATATCTTAACAGGATTCCTTTAAGTAGGACACTTTCATGCTCAGTTTTGTGTTTCAGCACATAATGAGGGGTTACACATCACAGTATGTCTTTAAACTGTGGGCTGCCCAGACATGGTCAGAGTTTAGCAACAGTATCTTTTTAAAAACAAACTTTGTGATACCAATAATGTCATTGAGTTAATACACATTAGCCTTTTAAAAAGGATGGAATAAATCGACTTTTAATAACTATTTTGATTACTTTTATTTAAACTTACCAGCAGCTGAACACTATCTTTTCCCAAAAGATGCAGAATCTTGTAAATGCTTGCAAAGATTAAGGGATAAGTGTAACCCCTCAATCTTTCTGTCCATTCCCAGGTCAAATAACCATAATTAGTAATATTAAGGACTAATGTTAAATAGCACTGAAACAAAATCTATTTGATTTCTGTGCATAAAAAATTTCTATTTTTTTGTTAAAGAAGCTTAAAACCACAGCATTTTATACTGGTTATTTGAATTAAAAATGCAATTGGCCAATTAAACTCATAACTTCTTCAAGAAGGGAATGTGTTTTTTACTTCATCTATATCCTCCACAGTACTGAGCACTATGGGAATATCTGCTGGTTAAAGGTTGAGTCAAGTATATTAACATCAAAGAAAGGTAGAAGAAATATTAGTGTAAAATAATGGTATACTTTGATAAGTTAAAATTACTTAGAGAATATATGGAAAATTGATTGAAAATATATAATAGAAGCTGGTACAATTTCTAAGATGAATATACATTTCTAGTATGGAAAAGAAACTACAAAGGATATTTGAAAACCATGTGATGTGCAACTTCAAGAGACTGCCAATATTCATCTGGAACAAAACTTGTCTGGACTAAAAAACAGTTACATATTCGTAATGCTATGGTAAACAAGACCAGATAAATGTTTTCACCAAGAAGATCTGAAAAACAAAACAAAACAAGTAATTGTGGCACAAAAGTCAGGCAAGTTCCACTTGCAGAACTAAAATCTGCTGCTCTGGTCGGCACCTTGCTCAGACTCTGTGAAGTAGAGAACTCTGGCCCAGCCACACTACTCTCAAAGCAGACCTGGGTTGACAGTTATACGAGGGCTGGAGCCTCACCATTGGGAAATCACCGCTCCTTTCATTTAACCAATCTTTCTGCAATTAATTGTGTAAGGAGAATAGTAAGATAACACTGAAAAAGAGATACAGTTAACTAAGGCCTTAGGCTAATTAGGTGATATCCTATATGGGTAGCTAATGAAAGAAATTAGCTAACAAATTACTAACTTAGGATCAACTCTTCTATATATATCAAACAGTCCTCTGCATGTTTTTAAATAGCCCTTATCGATGCTTACTCTATGCAAGGCGCTGAGTTCATTCCTTCACGTGCCTCATCTCATTTAATCCTCCAAATCATGCTAAACGGTAGGTATTGGCCCCATTCACATATGAGGAAGTTGAGACGAAGAAGTTACACTGCCTTGTCCAAAGTCAAAAAGGTTGTAAATGACTAAACGGGATTCAAAACCAGGTCTATCTGCTGCCTCCATAGCCCTGCTCTTTGCCACAATTGGACAGCTTGCAAGCTGAATACAGAGTTTGTTTTTTTTTTTTAATGTGAATTTAGCTGTCAACATTTAAAAATCCGACTTTATATTAAAATCTGTATTACAGCATTTCACAACTAAGATCTGACAACAAAGCTCAACTGGCAACAACTGGCTGGTTCTTTAATAGCAAGTGATTTATTTATTCAGACCCTTTTGGCCTCCTGAGTATTTGTGTTTGCATTCTAATCCATTTTGAGTCTTTTGCTATAGTTCTAGGTTCCTGACACTCTCCTTCCTTATTCTCCAGAAACACATTTAAATATTTTTCAGACAATTGGTACATTCAACACAACACACATGCCCCATCTCATCTTTCAGAAGCACTTAAAGAAACACCCCGACTGAACTATATCTGCTGAAAGAAAACCCTTTTACTCTGTGGACTGGTGCAGAATAAACAGTAAGAGCTGGCCCCTGAACAAGTGATCTTGAATACCTAAAAGTTCAACTATATACCTGTGACACGCATGGTAATTTACCATCGTTACTAACCTTTACCCTGAGGGATCCAACTTCCAACAACGGAAGGGTTAGGGGAAAAGAGCGCGAGAACTCGGGCCCAGCTACCTCTCCTCCTCCATTTAGCAAAACGATTCTCCCCTTTCTTGGTCTCAGGTTTCCAAAGGGAAACTCGGCATTCTTTTCATGCCGCTTACACAGTGCTCCGCACATACAAGGCGCAAAATATTGAATGAATGAGAAGTCCATCTTTATATTAAATAACCCCGTCTGACAGATCAAAAGCCCACTTGTTGGGGTGATTTGCTCCTGTCATCATCACATCGGACCAAAGAGAAGGCGGGGGTGGGGGTGGGAAAAATAAATGGGGTGGGAGTCAGACCTGGTTCAATCCCAGGAATCAGTCCCTCCGTAGCTGCGAAACCTTAGGTAACTCCCACCGCGGGTGTCCCCTTTCTAAAATGCGGATAGCTACGTCATGTCAACTCGCTTCGCACGGCCGCGGCAGAACTAACTGATGCAGAACAAAGTGCCACGCAAGCGGCAGGAATGGAGAATCCGGTCTCGAGTGCACTACGATTTCGTGGCAACCCCGCCCAGCAGATGGAGCCCTAGCTCAGGGTCCGCGGCTTCCCGCCACCGCCTGGGAGACCCCACCCGCTCACCTCCGCGGCGCTCGGTGCTCTTCCGGGGACTGAGGTACAAAGTTGACTTTCTCTTTCGCAGCTTCATCTTCTCATGGGAGCGGTTCTGGAGACCGCGGAAAAAAAGTCGGCCATCGTCGCTCCCTTGCTTCATCCTGCACCTACTTCGAGGTCTGCTGAGGATCCCCGGACACCTCAGTCCCCGCGATGAGGGAGACTGCAGTTGGAGTAACGCGCGTTGCTCTTTCGCTCACGAAGTTTGGCCTCTGCAGCAGCCGTCACACGCAGGCGCGGAGGTAGCTGGGAAAAGGCAGCTTCCTCACACCGGCCGCCGAAGTTTGTGTCGCTGCGGAGTGCTGCAGGTTTGTTTGGCACGGGTAAGCTTTGTCGCGAACTCGCTTGCGCTTTTTCTTTGGCTTATCCTTCTCGTGAGATTGCTGCCCTCCTTTGGCTTCGTGGTCCCTGCGTCCTGTATTCTCTTCCGGAGACTGCTGGAAGGAGCCGGAGCTCCCCTAGGCTAGGGCAGACGAGAGGCGGGGTCAGCGACGCGGAGCGACAGACGAACGGTCGGAGGTGTTTAAGTGGTAATGATAATAGTAATGATAATTACGATTCCCTTCCTTCCTTCCTTCCTCCCTCCCTCCCTCCCTCCCTCCCTCCCTCAGCAGGCGATGAACTATAGCATTCTTTGTAAGCTGTCATTTATCTAGTTAACCGTCCAAGAGCAAACAGGCATTTCTTTCCTATATTAGTTTAAATTACATTTTATTGATGTTAAGGACAATTCAGTTTCTAGTATCGGTTCTGCCTCTAATGATTTCTGTAACCTCGGGGGCCGGTCTAGGAGACGGTGAAAGACTGTTATAAGAAAATATGTAAATCCGTTACTCTGCTTTCCTCTTTCATAAACATCTATTTTCTCCAGAGACTATGGTGTTCCCAAATATAACTTTCTGAGAAATACTGGAGTCTTTACTCCTCAGTTGTTAAAAGTAAATTAGTCAACCTCCCCACTCTCATGTACTCTCTCTCTCTCTCATTCTCACTCTCTCAAAAATAAATAAATAAAATCTTTTAAAAAAAAAAGTAAATTAGTCAAATCTTTATATTATAAAAAATGTATGGTGATAAACATAACATAATAAAATAAAATTTAAAAAAATGGATGGCAGGTTATTTACATGTGTTTGATGTCTACTTGTACCTTCTAAAGCATCAAAGGGAACTCATAAAATCTTTTAGCCTGCTTTAAAAATTGTTTTTAATTATGCATATTGCCAAAAATCATGAAATAGTAAAAAAGGGCAAATAATGAAAAGTAACAATTCTCTTTCTTCTACTTCCAGATTGGATTGGCAATAACTTTCAGCTTTTTGGGGGAGCTGTTTCTTTTAGTGGTTAGTTTTATGATGGTATGTAAAGGTATAAAGAGGATTTCTCTTCCCAGACTCTCCCCCACTTTTGCCATTTTAAGAATTATTTATTTAAAACCATTGAGAAAATTCTATAATAGGATTTAGCTTTGTCTTACACCATCCCCTGATCCTCATTTGTCATATTCCCTGTATATTTATATTCCTATTTTAGTTAAGTCAAGTGAGATTTACATATTATGATGAAAATACTCTTCACTCTGGAAGAAAGTAGTGACCTGGAATTTTTTAAAAGGATGTTGTGCTAAGTTATTGCTTTGCTTTCCATTTTCTTTGTACACAGATCTGAAGATATTTCCTGAATGTGGACTGTAATTTTTCAAAAACACAGTGTGGCAAAAGCACTGTACGGCATTTGTTGAAAAATGTTTGGGAGATTGACTCTTCCACAACTGCTTTTTGCTAGCATCCTTGGAATTGCTGGAGGGATGTATATTTATCAACCAATATTTGAACAATACTACAGAGATCAGATGGAATTAAAAGAAAAGTTGAAATTGGCACAAGAATCAGAAGAGAAGAAAAGTTAATACTACATGGAGTTGAAATGTAATTGTTTAAAGTTCTATTGAAATTATACATTGACTATAAATAATCTAGTAAAAACTTCTCAAGTATATTTTAAACACAAATAAATAATAGGTAATGATTTTAAAACAAGCACTGTCAATTTTAATGTTTAATTTTATTTGTCATTTTTAAACTAAAATGAATGTGTTAAAGAATATTTTGTTTCCCAGTTGACGTTTATTTTTCTGGAAATGCAACGTATACAGGATCAAGGGATAACAAGACTCTTTATAAAATAGCTGGGAATGGTGTTCATAGTACTGGTTATAGATGAAGTGAATCAAGTTAACCACCTCAGGCAGAATGCCCCTCAAGTAGCCTACAGTTAGCCGATTCAATATACTTGAGCAGTCTTTTAGCCCCAGGCAGAATGAAGGAGTAAATTGAGAATTAGGGTAGCTCAGATCAAATTGAGGTTTTAGTTAAGCTAGATGGTATTATATAGGATAGCAAATATGACACAGATCTGTTTGTTTGACCTAAGCAAATTTGCATTAATAATAGTGCAAAGGGTGGAACTAATTTGTTATAAAGCTATTTTTCATATAGTTACAATGTTTTTTTGAAATTGGTAGGAACTGATAATTACTTTTTATTCTAATAATCTTAAGCTTGTATTTTCACTGAGAGCTATCAATGTAATCACATGTACAAGATGCTTTATTTAAATCAACTCATTTTTTATTATTGATTGCTTTTTCTTGAAAAGTAAATTTATTATAGCTTAATCTAAGCTGTCTATGTTCAGTGGAGGCCAGCATGGGTAATTTTTAAAAAAGGGAGTGAAAAAATTTACGAAAATAGTGCATGTACATTAAAAAATTCAAACAGTACGGAAATGAACAAACTAAAAGGTGAAAATTATTGTATACATTGATTTAATCAGCACCTTTAACAGATTAGTGTAAGCTTTTGAGACTTTTTCTTCTGTGCACATAAAAATATACATTAAGATTTTAGTTCATATACCAAGTGTTTACCATGTGACAGGCTTAGCTTTGCTTGAACTACACAGCTAGACTGGGGGTTGTGTTGTATGAGTCTTATCATTGTGGGATCCAGGCTCAAGGAGAATCTCCTTTCTGGGATATGACAGAATATAGGATTGAGACAGAGAGGAAACTTGGAATTGTAAGCTTCTGCTCATTTGTGGCAAATGTCAAATCTCATATTCTGTTGGTTTAGAGCATGTCACATGGTCAAGCTCAAAGTCAAGGGCAGGGACACAGACTTTGTACAGGGTGCAGAGTCAAGTCACATGATAATGAGCAGGAATATACGATCCTGTTGTATCCAAGGAATGATAATCCTATCTAACATCAATTTAAATTGAACTGCTTTTGATCCTCCTTTTGAGAATGATGCATTGGTCAGTTTAGTATTTACGTACCAAGTGGCAGAGAATGAGTTTATTTTTTTCCTAATAAAAATATTGCAGCCATTTATATCAAGGTCACAATGAGATACCACTTCACAAACTTAGATGACTACAAACAAAAAGATGGAAAATAACAAGTGTCAGCAAGGATGGGGAAAAATTGAAACCCTGATAGGCTGCTGGTGGGATGTAAAATTGCAGTTGCTGTGCAACAGTTTGGCAGTTACGCAAAAAGTTAAACAGTGTTAATATGACTGAGTAATTCTACTTCTAGGTAGATGTCCAAGGGAAGTGAAAACGTCCACACACAAATTTGTACATGATTGTTCAAAGCATCATAATTATAATAGCTTAAAAGGTGGAAATAACACAAATGTCTATCAATGCATAATAAATTGTAGCCCACAATAGAATATTACTCCACCTTAATTAATGAAATGGTGACATTTACAACATTAATAAATGTTGAAAACATGAAAGAAGCTGGACACAAGAGGCCATATGTTATAATTTGATTTATATGACATGGCTAAAACAGGCAAATGCAGAGAAAGATTAGTGGCTGCCAGGATATAGGGTTTCTTTTTAAGGTGATGAAAATGTTTTGGAACTGGGTAGTGGTGGTCAGTGACAACTTTGTCAATATAATTTTTAGTATTGAATTGTACACTTCCAAACTCATTTTACAAGGCCAGCATTACCCTAATACCAAAACCAGATAAGGATGCCACAAAAAAAAGAAAGTAACAGGCCAGTATCCCTGATGATCCCTGAATTGTACACTTTAAAGTAGTGGACTTTACTGTGTGGGAATTAGATCTCAATAAAGCTGTCTTAAAGAAAAAGGAGGGATGTCTGAGTGGCTCAGTCAGCTAAGCATCTGCCCTCGGCTCGGGTCATGATCCCAGGGTCCTGGGATCAAGTCCTACATGCAGAGAGCCTGCTTCTCCCTCTCCCTCTGCCTGCCGCTCCCCCTGCTTGTGCTCTCTCTCTGACAAATAATATCTTTAAAAAATAAAAGAAAAAGGATAACTCTATCCAGAATAGTGGCAATTAAGATAGTCCATTGTTTTCTGCCATAATCCATCTAGTTTGTTTTTTGTGTGTGGTAAAAAAAAATACATAGCATGAAATAACATTATTTTTACAGTTTTTAAGTGTAGAATTCAGTGGCATTAAGTACATTCACATTGTTGTGTAACCGTCACCATCCATCCATCTCTAGAACTTTTTCCATCTAATTTTTGTAAGGCCCAGAGAGGTGAATTGAATGGGGATATAGAGACCCTCGGCCCACATCCTTCAAATCTTTGTTTTGTTTTTTTAAAGATTTTTATTTTTATTTGTCACAGAGAGAGGTAGACAGAGGAGCAAGGAGCCCGACGTGAAACTCCCTCCCAGGACCCTGGGATCATGACCTGAGCCGAAGGCAGATGCTTAGCCAACTGCCACCCAGGCGTCCCTCCTTCAAATTCTTGAAGGTGGCATTATTGTCTGCAATTCTTTGCCTAAATTGCTTCTAATTTGCTTAGGGAAAGCAGACTCAGTGGCTTTCAGTTTGTTCTTTCTAAAATAAGGATTTGGTAGGGACTGAATGTGACCTCCCCCCAAAACCCATGGTAAAATTCATATGTTGAACCCCTAATCCCCCGTGTGATGGTATTTGGAGGTGGGCCTTTGGGAGGTAATTAAGACATGAGGGTGGAGCCCTCATGAATGGGATTAGTGCCCTCCTAAGAGGAGATACAGGAGGAGATGATCATCCTCTTCACCATGTTAGGATATAGCAAGAAGGTACAAACTGGAAAAGGGCCTTCTCACCAGGCACCAAATCTACCAGCATCTTGATTTTGGACTCCTCAGCCTTCAGAATTGTGGGAAATAAATACTTGTTGGTTAAGCCACCCATTTTATGGTAATCTGTTACAGTAGCCTAAGCCGGGGTTCTTTCTATAAGGTCAGTGATCATAGTGTATGATCCTTTTAATGTATTGTTGAATTTGTTTTGCTACTATTTTATTGAGAATTTTTGTATCTGTATTCATCAAGGATATTGGCCTGTAATTTTCTTTTTTGTGTGGCATCCTTATCTGGTTTTAGTATTAGGGTAATGCCAGCCTTGTAAAATGAGATTGGAAGCATTCCCTCCTCTTCATTTTTTTTGGAAAAGTTTGAGAAAGATAGGTATTAAATCTTTGAATATTTTGTAGAATTCACCAGTGAAGCCATCTGGTCTTGGGGTTTTGTTTGTTGGGAGTCTTGTGATTACTGATTCAATTTCCTTACTTATAATTTGTCTATTCCAATTTTCTATTTCTTCATGAGTCAGTATTGGAAGATTGTGTGTTTCTAAAAATTTATCCATTTTTCAGTGTTGTACAGTTCGTTGGCATATAATTGTTCATAGAAGTCTCTTATGATCCTTTGTATTTCTGTGATATCAGTTATAACTTCTCTTTCATTTCTAATTTTGCTTATTTGAGCCTTTTCTTTTTGGTGAGTCTAGTTAAAGGTTTGTCAATTTTGTTTACCCTTCCAAAGAACCAGTTTCATTGATTTTTAAATTTTATTTTTAGTTTCTATTTTATTTATTTCTGTGATCTTTCTTATTTCCTTCTTTCTACTAACTTTGGGATTTATTTATTGTTTTTCTAGTTCTTTTAGATGTAAAGTTAGTTTGAGATTTTCCTTGTTTCTTGAGGTAGGCATGTATCACTATGAACTTCCCTACTAGAACATCTTTTGCTGCATCCATGGATTTTGAATTGTTATATTTACATTTTCATTTGTCTCAAGGTATTTTCTGATTTCCTCTTTGATTTCTTTGTTGGCCCATTGATTGTTCAGTAGCATGTTGTTTAATCTACATATTTGTGATTTTTTTCAGTTTTTTTCTTGTAATTGATTTTTAGTTTCAGCCATTGTGATCAGAAAAGATGCTTGATATGATTTCAGTCTTCTTAAATCTAGTGAGACTTGTTTTGTGGCCTAACATGTGATCTGTCCTGGAGAATGTTTCATGTGCACTTGAGAAGCATGTGTATTCTGCTGCTTTTGGATTGAATGTTCTGTATTTTTCTATTAAGTCCATCTGATCTAATGTGTTGTTTAAAGCCAGTGTTTCCTTATTGATTTTCTGTCTGGATGATCTATCCATTGAGGTAAGTGGGGTGTTAAAATCCACTACTTTTATTGTATTGCAGACAATTTCTCCCTTGATGTCTGTTAATATTTGCTTTATATATAGATACTCCTATGTTGGATGCATAAATATAATTTTTATATCCTCTTTTTTGATTGACTGCTTTTTCATTATGTAATGCCCTTCTTTGTCTTTTAGAGTCTGTTTTAAAGTCTGTTTTGTCTGATATAAGTATAGCTACACCAGTTTTCTCTTCATTTTCATTTACATGGAATATTTGTTTTCATCTTTTCCCTTTCAGTTTGTGTGTGTCCTTACTTCTGAAGAGAGTATCTTTTAGTCAGTATATAGATGAGTCTTGTTTTTTTATCCACTCACCTGCTCTGTGTCTTTTCATTGGAGAATTTAGTCCATTTACATTTAAAGTAATTATTGATAGGTATGTACTTATTTCCATTTTAATTGTTTTCCAGCTGTTTTTGTACTTCCTGTCTGTTCCTTTCTTCTTCTCTTGCTCTTTTCTGTGTGGTTTGATGACTTTCTTTAGTGTTACGTGTAGTTTTTTTTCTCATT